GCCGCGGAAGGAACGCGCTGCTCCGAGACAGAAGCCGCGCTAAAACCTGCGCCAAACCTGCGCTAAAACCAACCACGAACCGGACTCACCGGGCCGGACCAGGACCAGAACCGGGACCAGAACGGGTCTAACCGCACGCGCACGCGCTTCAGACCGACGGGAGCGCGCTCGCGTCGAATCCGGATCGGGTTTGGTTCGGTTCCGAGGATCATGCGTCTCGGTGAGTTCTATTCTTTGTTCTGAAAAAGACACGACGTAAAGAGGAGGAGGAGAGGAGGAAGGGATGAAGGGATGAAGAGGAGGAGGAGGAAGGGAGGAAGGGAGGAAGAGGAGGAAGAGGAGGAGAGGAGGACGGAGGAGGCGCTCTGGGATGGAGCAGGTGCGGCTAACAGAGATGCTAACGCGGAGTGAACGCGCTTTAGGACGCGTCTTTTGGCGCAAACACGCGCCTCTGTCCTCGCGCGTCTGTCCTCGTGGGTCTGATTTTTGGTCCGGATGCCCTGCAGTAGAACCCGTGGTCCACGCGCTCCGAGCGGCTCCGTTCATCCGAGACACAGCAGCGCGAGACCCACTGTCCAGGGCATCCGGGTTTATAGACCCAGACACAGGCAGAACACGCAGACAGACACACCTGGTTCAGTCCGGTTTTAGTCCTGGTTTAGACCTGGTTTAGTCCTGGTTTAGTCCTGGTTCAGACCTGGTTTAGTCCTGGTTCAGACCTGGTTTAGTCCTGGTTTAGTCCTGGTTCAGACCTGGTTCAGACCTGGTTTAGTCCAGGTTTAGTCCTGGTTTAGTCCAGGTTTAGACCTGGTTTCACACAGGTCAGGTTTTGTAGGATTCTTTTCTATTTTTAAAACATAAACTAAAGGCAAAAGGAGAAATTAAATTTGTCGACTGGACAAAAGTTCATTTGGTCAAACACGTTTCTTCAGTTCGTCCAGATGTTTCTTCAGTTTGTCCAGATGTTTCTTCAGTTCTGTCAGACTCTGGTGACACTTCCTTCTATCTGCCTGAAGGGGGCGCTCACTACACTCAAACTCCTCTGGAACTAACACACACACACATTTAATTACATATAAACATTTAATTTATAGAATCAGAACCTTGGAGAAATGGGGAACTTTTCCGTACATGGTTGATGTTTCTGAAAAAACTACAGAAGATTTTCACACATGAAATTCCAGAATATTTCAAACTTACAAAGACTTTAACACAGAAACTGGTCCAAAAGACAAAACACCGAGACACAAACAAAGCGACGTGTTCTACTGCGATCAGTGTAGTGAAGACTGAAGTGACGAAACACAGGAGAAACTAAACACACACTTCACAGGAGGAAGAACCAACACAGATGAGAGAACAACACAGGACCTCAGTCTGCTGTGTTTCTCCACATAAAAGTCTCGGGTCGCTCCTATGAGGACAACGAGGTCCAGATCTGAGCCCGAGGAAAGACTTGGTTTGAGAGGAGTTTTTGTGACTGTTTTTGTGAGGAAAGAGAATCCTTCCTTAAATAGAAACAAAGGCCTCAAAAACCATCTACCTCCATCTACAGCTCCATCCTCAGACCGAAAACAAAACAAACAAATAAACGACAGGTGTAGTCAGGTCCAGAGGTGTGGAAGCTCCATTGTTAAACTTGTGGAATATATCAGCAAAGTCATTCAGGGTCAACCTGAATGACTTTGATGATATATTCCACAAGTTTAACAAACAAACACAAACTGTAAACAAGTGTGTGGTAGTTTCAGAGTAGTTTCAGTGTAGTTAGCTCCTCCTGCAGATATAAGGAAGTGTCCACCAGAGTCTGACAGAACTGAAGAAACATCTGGATGAGCTGAGAAACGTTTTCGACCAAATAAAAATTTGTCCAGTCAACAAACTAAATTTTCTCTTTTTGCTGTGGATTCTGCCTGGACGACTGAGATTTTACACACAAACATAAACTAAATGTTTAAATCCTCAGTAGGGACCGGCATTCGATTAAATTTTATTAATCAATCGCTGACGATCAACGATCGATTATCAATTAATCATTAACGTTTTTATATAGTTGAGTTTCAGCTGACGTCATTGTTATTAAAAGTCCGCGTTGCTGCTGGGAAATATTCTGGTCGGAGGCAAGAAACACGGTAGCGTCAAACACAGTGTGTAACCTGTGTATTTCTCACTGATATTGGTAAATTCCTGCTGCATTATCAGACGCACAAATAGAAGCACGGAAGAAGGAAAATGTCTTTTTCATATTCCGAGTGAAAAGAACCACTAACGGTGAATTAAACGACTTTCAAACATCCGCAGAGCAAACGTAGAAGATCCTAACAAACCGTGGACTCAACAAGTTCAACAACACATCCAGACTCTTGGAGGTTTTCATCTTTTCTGCTGTGAATGGCCCAGGAGTTTCCACCAAGTCATTGTGGATGTCGCCCAAGTGAATATTTGTCCAGGGAGTTGGAGATTCTGACCAGAAGTTTGGTTTGTTCCAGACTCTGTCGGG